TAGGTCGAGTGCACAACCTTCATTTCATGTATCCACGATTTTCTGGTATGAGTGGGCAGTAGAATTTCTCCTTGGGTTGTCACACTTGTTAGATTGAAGCTAGCTAGGAGCTTCTGGAATTATATTTTCAGTTAACTTCGCTTGCTCCAGGACTCTCCATTGTATGATATTGGTTGAACTTCCTGGTTCAACCAAAACACGTTTAATTTTAAAATCCAAAACATCAATGAAGATTACTAAGGCATCATTTTGCGAAATAATGAGTACTTCATCGTCTTCTTCCGTGAAGGTGACATCATCTTCCGAGACTTCCCGTATCCTCTTGCCATGAGTCACTGATATTTTCGTCCTTTTTTGCTACCGAAAATATCACCCCATTGACCTCGTTTCCTCCGAAGATCATGTTTATTGTCATCCGAGGTTACCATGTTATTGTCTTTGATGACTATGCATCGTCTCGGCTTTGCCATAATTATTTTTGGCTCGATCCTCGCGAAGATGTCGGCAGTCCCTATTTCTGTGGCTGTGAGTCACGTGAAATTCACACTATAGATTAGGATCCCTTTGGCTAGGATCTGATCGGATTGGTTTCGAAAATATGCTTCTTTGATATTCCTCATTGCTGACACCACTACTAGGTTGATATTGAAGTTGTAATCAGATAACCTAGGATATGCGGGATCTCAGGACCCTAGCACCTCTTTCTCTTGCAATAATCTGTTATGCTGTCCATGATCCGTCTTTCTGTCGGAAGCTAACCTATCCGATGATTGGAGTCCTTTATTGCTACACCCATCGGTCCTCTCGTGCGGTAGAAATGACCCCCAGAGGACCTCTGATCTGCGTCAAAGTCATTTTTAAATTTATCCTGATTTTTATCGTGTTCTCGTCCCCTGGATGAGACAGAACAACCAAATTGATCATCTTTTATCCTTATCTTCGACTCGTAGCGATTATGAACATTTCCCTATGTGGTTCCTAAACCTTGAGCAATCTCTCCTTCAATTTTTGAGAGGCATCAGAACTCAGTGGATTCAGGACTTTAGTGAATGGCTCCGCTGCCCACTCATCCGGAATCGTTGGTAGCAACATCATTTCCTACTGGAACGAAATTACGAATTCCCACAACATCTCAGATTCTCCTTGCAAAATTCTGAATATATCTGCCTTTTTGGCCTGGACCTTTCTTGCTCCAGCATGGGCTTTGATGAACGAATCCACAAGCATTTCAAAAGAATCGATTGAATGCTCAGGTAAGAGAGAATACCATGTCAGGGCGCCTTCGTAAGGGTTTCGCCGAACTTCTTCAACAAAACCGATTCGATCTCATGTTGAGCCAAGCCGTTCCCTTTCACTATCGTGATGTTGGTCGTGATGTGCTCCTGTGGTCCGATGTCCCATCATACTTTGGTATATCTGAAATTTTGAACCTCTTCAGAATTAACTCTAGGGTCGCACTTGGTTTAAACGGTAATTACGTGTATTTTTTTAATCTAGACCCTTTAACGGGTGACGCGCCCAGAATCTAATCCATCCGAGTGTGAAACTCCTTCGCATTCTAATCTATTCGTTCATTCATCTCTCTCGTGACTTCATGAGCTTAGTTTTGAAAGGACCATTCATGTTATTGTTCCCAGATCCACTACCGGTCCCTCCGGCTTCGTCGTAGCCAACTTCACCCCTTGGGGTATTGTTATTGGTTCTCTGAGCCGTTTGGTTTGCTGGAATATTGGGAGGAATTGAGGCCCTTCCATTATTGGAAGCACCCGACAATGCTTGTTTTAATTCTGTCATCAACTGATCTTTCCTTGAGAGGTGATCTTTGATTGCTCTTTGTTGTTCTCTAAGGAGTTTGACCATTTCAACAATGTGTTCATCCTCCATGTAATAAGGAGTTGGGCCCCGAACATTCCGAGGGTACTGACCTTCATGAACCAGGGTTGTTTCATCCCCTTCGTCGCGAGTCTCGCTGATTGAGTCTTAGCGTTGGGACGTCTCTTCTCCTTCATCGTGTGCTCCAAAGTTGTAAGTGTTGTTGGCATTATTAGCTGCCATATCTGATATTTACTAAGGAAAGAGTAAAAAATCTATTAGTAACAAACGAATGGATCAAAGAAACTTTGTAGTTGTCTATGGCCCATGATGGGCGCAAAACTGTTTACTCGTAAAATGGTACAGTTGAATTTATAGCGTGGTTTATAGACAAGAGAATCGATTTGATCCAAAAACGATAAATAAATAAGGACAAAAATAAGATTAGCGACTGAAATTAAAGGAGATAACAAGCCTGACTCAGAACTTAGCCTTTCCAAGGACAAAAGTAAAAGCAATTGTTCAGGTGTTCAAATTGAACGTAACAAGATAGTAGATTATTGCTTTTGCATGCAGAGTGTTTTGTGTCCTTATAATGGTTGTTAACCCTGCTATTTATAGCCCTATTTAAGGAAAAAAGATCCTAAAATCAAGCTCCTCTTGAATGAGAATAAAATCGCCATTGATGGGTGCATAACAACTGCATTTAAATACCGATATTCTCTGTAACGGTTGTCCGATGAATGTTACCCGATGGCAATGCTGCAAATCTTTATCATCAGTTGTTCTGTATTCGGGGGTTATTTGGCACTGATTGTTCTCCGCTTGCAACTGGTGACAACTGTTTGCTGACTCACATCCCCAACTGTCTATAATGCCATGTGTCACATCGTCATTCGCCCAGTTATCATCAATCAATTTTACCCCATACATCAAGTTTTTCCAAATTTGGCATTTTCAATCAAATACTTGGCATCCTGTAGCTAAGTGCACCCTTCTTCCTCACCCTTATTTCCTTTATTGAGTTTTAATTTACTATTTTTCAAGTTGAATCTGAAAAATTGAAATTAATAGTAATTTGTTTGTTGAAATGATTGGGTGCAACTTTTTTTTTTTGGTAATTAAGTAATTTTATTTACCAAGAAAAAATATATTTACAAGCAAAACAAAACCCATACAGTTGGACATCCCCAACTTTTTACATTCATCTTCTCTTCCTCCCTGTCCCCTTAGTTACAAAAATAGACAGAAGTTAACTAAGGAAAGAAATTCATCCTTCTCAATTGCCCTGCAAGTTTCCGATCCCACCGTCCCCTGCAATGAACATCTTGTGTTATTAATCTGCTTAGAACTTCAACACTTCTCGACTTCTTTTGGAAGATTCTTAAGTTCCGCTCTTTTCATAAGTAGTACACACATCCTGACATTGTTAATTTGTAGATTTCAACTTTAGTATCCTTTCCATTTCCATTCATAACTGCCCATGCCAGTTCTTGATTCCATCCCATTGGCTCTCTGTTTATGTGAGCATTTTTCCCCATAGGGAAGCAGAGAAGTTGCACTTAAAAAATAGGTGCTCAATGGATTCATCGTGATTGTCACACAGAGGACAAATTAGCTCAGTCATCACACCCCACTTTGCTAATCTATCTCTAGTATATAGCCTCCCCAGTGCTTCCAATTGTAGTATGAATATCCATTTAGGATATCCTGGATTGTTGCATATTAGTCTCTTCCAACTCACCTTTGGATAATCTCCTCTAAGTTTGTTGTATATCTTCTCGATTGAGAGGTGACTGGTCTTCAAGATCTCTTCATATAAATATCCTGCTTTCTCCAAGGTATCCTTTGTCTTCATCGCTTTTTTAACCATGCAGGACGCTTGTGGAGGGTCACACCCCCAAATATGTTTACCCTTCACATAGTAGCTATGAACCCATTGTATCCAAAGTCTATCCTTCTTTTGGCACAGGTTCCAGAAATGCTTGCATATTGCAGCTCTATTCCATAGGCATATATCGATGACATTGAACCCTCCCGCTGACTTAGGATAACACACATTATCCCATGATAGTGATGCCTTCTTTGTCATCTTATTGTCTTCCCTCCAAAGATAGCTTCTGCATATAGATTCAATCACATTAAGTATCTTTTAGGCATAATAAATGTCTGGCACCAGAAGGTTTGCATTAAGAACAGGACACTTTTAATAAGCAGAAGTCTCCCTACATAGGACAAGAACTTTGCTGTCCATGTTGTAACTTTTCCCACTATTCTATCCACTAAAGGTTGGCATTGTGATACTGATAGTCTTTTGGAACTTAGTGGTACACCTAAGTACTTTACTGGTAGTGCACCTTTGGAAATCCCCAATATGTTCAGAATAGCTTGTTCTATATCCTCAGGTACTCCTCCAAAGAAGATTGAACTTTAGTGTTTATTTACTACAAGTCCTGAGCAGTAGGAGAACTGGAGAAAACATTCATATAATAACTGCACAGATCTTATATCACCCCTGCAAAACAAAAGTAGGTCTTCAGCAAAACCTAGCTGTACAATCTGCAATTTCTCACATCTGGGATGGTAGTTAAAGTCCGGTATCAGCCTCAGGGTCTTCAATTTTCTTGTCAAAAACTCCATTGCTACTACAAACAGGAAGGGGGATAGAGGGTCCCCTTGCCTTAGTCCTCTCCTGGCCACAAATGGTTGCATAGGTCTTCCGTTAACTAAAATGGAATATGTTACCGTGGTAACACAACCCATAATCCACTTCACAAATACAACAGGGAAACCCAAACCTACCATAACTTGCTCCAGAAATACCCACTCAAGTGAATCATAAGCTTTTTGCATGTCTAATTTCATCACACATCTTGGTGATAACCCTTTTCTTCCGTAGCCTTTAATCAAATCATGGTTTAGGATAATGTTGTCAGTAATTAGCCTACCAGGGACAAATGCAGATTGACATTTATCAACCAAAGTATCCATCACCCCTTGTAGTCTCTTGGTTAGTACTTTTAAAATGATTTTGTAGAGGATGGTGCAACATAATATGGGTTTGAATTCCTTTATAGATTCAGGATTCGGTACTTTAGGTATTAGTGTCACTGAAGTACAATTAATAGCTCTAAGCATGTTGGAGATGTTGAAGAACTGAAGGATAGCTTCTGTAATCTCCTCCCCAATCACAGGCCATGCTTTTTTTTTTTGAAGAAAACAACATTCAAGCCATCACACCCTGGTGCTTTTCTATCATCAATATCCATCAAAGCTTGGTACACTTCAACCCTTGATACTGGCTGAATCAACTCTCTTTGTTGTTCCATAGTTAGCAGTGGTCCTTCCTTAAGTACAAAAGGATCAATGGTAGGCAGGGTATTTGTTGATGTGCCAAGTAATTTCTCATAATATCCAGTTATTTCCTTTATTATCTCAGCTTCAGTATGGAGTCTCTCCCCCTGATCATTTTTAAGGTTCCTGATGTGATTCTGTGAATACCTGTGCTTCACGGAGGCAAAGAAGTAGGAAGTATTAGAATCACCTTTTTTTAGCCACTGAATTCTAGACTTTTGCTTGTATATGCTTTCCTCAATACCACTCCATTTCTCCAATTGACATTTTAATTCCCTTTCTTCCTCCATTAGCATGGTGTTCAGGTAGTCGGCACTTAACTTCTCTTGCACCTCTTGTAGATGTAGTCTAACCTCCTTTATCTTCTTACCTACTCCAGTGAACTGCTTTGTAATGAGTCTTTTCAAATTCTGTTTAACCCCCTTGAGTTTGTCCTATATTGCTCCCATGTTCTTCCTATTCATCTATATGTTCCATCCCTCCTCAACTGCCTGTTGGAATTGTCTATGTTCAGTTATGTAATTGAAGAATTTAAAAGGCTTTCCTCCTCTTCTAGGTGATTTAGTGAAACTGATGCTCAAGGGTGAGTGATCAGAAAAGTGAGGCTCCAAAATATGAACTACTTTTGTGGTCATATTGATCATCCAATCTGCATTTGCAATGGCTCTATCGATTTTGCTATATGTGTGGCTATTTGTCCATGTATACTCCCTTCCAAATATTTTAACTTCAGAATCCTGTATTCATTAAGAATTTCCTAAAGTCTCTTGTCTCATATTCTTGTACAGGTGAACCATGCATTCTGTCTTCTTGATGTAAGATAGTGTTGAAGTCCCCCATAATGATCCATGGACCCTGTTGTATTTGTGTTATGCTTCGTAGACTTATCCACATGCTTTTTCGATCCTGAATTGAGTGAAGACCATAAACAGCTGTGAAGTGGAAACTCGGGTTCAGATCATATATCTTAGTCACCCCATGTATATACTGTATCTCTTTAGTGAGCAGAACAAAATCTATACGTCTTGGATCCTAGATTATCCATATTCGACCTTTATTATTAGAGCTAGCATTGGAAATCCATCTCCAACCTTGAGCTATCTTCTGGATTATTTTGGTTTCCAACTTTTCTACTACTCTATGCTCCAGTATGGCTAATAGCCCTATTTTATTTTCCTTTATAATTACTTTTAACTCCTTCTGCTTATATACCTTATTAAGGCCTCTCACATTCCAAGTAACTATATTCATGCTTAGTTAGGTTGAGAGATTTTGGCTGCCTCGTTCCCTTTGTTACCACATCTTGCTTTCATGCTAGCATTACTCTGGATTTTCTCTGTAAGTACTGGCTCTGCATTACTGCTCATTTGCTCGCTTAGAGGTTTAAACCCATTGGTTGTATCTAAGCAACTCTCCTCCCTGTGATTCTTAGTTGCTGATTTGCCTCTTACTACTTGCCATCCATCTTCCTTCTGATGCTCATTTGTTAGTACTTTGTTGTTGCCTTCACCTATTTTTAGTTCGCCCTCTTTATTTGTAGGTTGGACAGTAATTCCTTTGGGAATATTTAATGCACATGTATTTTCCCTGCTCCTCCAGATTTGCTTAGGCCTTATAGTCCTCCTTGGAGTTGGTTGAATTGGTCGTTTTTGAGCTGGTACATGGTTACAATTATGGCCAACTTGAAGACATGTTGTGCAATACTCGGGCTTCCATTTATATTCAATTACCTGCTCAAATACTCTTCCACAAGGATCCTGCACTTTGACACTCCTAGGCAAAGGCCTGTTAACATCAATCTCGACAAGCAACCTAGCATATGAGATTCTAGCGGACAATGTTGTGCAATCATCTGCATAGAGGGGGTTTCCTAGTGCACTGCCAACTTTGCTTAAACATTTCATTGTCCAGCAGTTCAAAGGCAAATTGGGTGCAACTTATTAGTACTGAAAGTTAATATTAAACATTGGTTTGTTGTGATAATGGGATATTGTCGTGGCTGAAAAGCGATTGGAGGTCTAGTGAGTGCTTCCACTCAGGTTGTGACCCCATTTTGGCCTAAACATCCACGTGGGACCTAAAAATACAATATAGATGCACTTATCTTTCTTACTTGGGATTACAATGGAGCAAATATTTTATGCGTGATTCAACAGGATTTTTTTTTTGTAACTGCAACTTTTTCGATTTTTTGAAGTTGTATCAATGCTAGACATGTTGAAAATATAAATTTATGTTTTGCTCTCGTCTAGTTGATTCAATATTTTAATGGTCTCGGTATAGTTGAATGTGATGCCTAGGAATTTGTGCTTTCTTGTAACTCCTCAAGTAAAGATTTTACATCGATCAGAATGCTTTTAGAAGATTGTCGTTTCTTGTTAAGGAGAAATCCTAATATTTCTCTACTTTGAGTGAAGAGATAAGCAAATTTAGTTACTCATTACTTGCCAAGAGTTACTAGAAATTATGCTAGTCTTTTATATTTGAAGTATGCTCCTAGTTTAATTGTAAACTTGTTGGTTGTTGATTCAATCTAATAACTTTTGTTTGCTTCTTCTCCACCAAGTACGAAAGTCTAAGAATTCTTTTTTAGTAGGGTAGGTCGGTGACTTCTTAAAAAAACTCTGATTCGATTCGTCCCCAGGTGGGGAGACATCTATCTTATCCCAATCACAAGAAGAGGTTCACTACGACGGGAATACTTTTTTCGCTTGGGGAAAACATGAAATGCATAGGGACCATCCTGGTCCTTTTATTGTGGCATACTTCTAAGATTTGCAGATTCACAAGGAGCCTCCATCTCTACTGAGAAGTTTTTGTTTAAGTTTAAAAAAAAAAAAGGAATTGTGGTTTGGGTTCAAGATTTGAGCTTAATTATCTGAATAACATTTTCAAAACCTATTTGGACTTGCAATCTTGCTATCATTTATGCTTGGTGTTTGTAGTGAAGTTCCAAAGGTTATAGAAGCAGTGGGGACAAAAAATGTGATGTTTATAGATAGTTTGTCTTCTACTGCAGCTTGTACTAGCTGTTTTTATACTTTTTGTATAAGCTGAATAAGGTCGTTGCAAGGCACTAAGAGAACTTTTGCATGATTCTTTAAAAAATTACTATACTTACCTATGAGTTGGAAATGTTCTAATTCTTTAAACAAATTATTGTAGACATTTTTTTCTGCTAATGTTATTGCTACTATCATAATTTTTTTATTTTTGATCGAATATATCCCTCAGGATTATCATACAGGGGATGTGATATATTAGAAAAAATATTAATTCAATTGATAACAAAATTATGAACTTAAAATACTTGTAATAGTATGTCAATTATACCAAGTGTTGCTAGTGAAGTATTTGTCTGGTTATCAAACTGCGGTGAACGTGTTCAAACTATGAGGTATGCGGTTGTAATTGTCACTAATATACAGGTTAGGTAAGGTACTACTTCTTTTTCAATTTATGCGATGTACTTATTTTTTACTTTAACTTTAAATTTTACATTTTATTTTTGTGTTAGATTAAAATTTCAAAATCTTTTGTTCTTTCTTAAATTCTTTAGATAATCAAAATGCATCATATAAAATGTGACCGAAATATTGATGCTTTATTCTTTTCATAAGTGTGTCTATCTACAGTGACTAATATTTAAGAATAATTTAATTTAATAAGAAAACTAGGCGCTGAATTAAAATGAAAATCCAAAATCAAAGCTGAGTGACTAGTTTAACAACTTACTCCCTCCGTTTAAACTTAGATTAGGTAATTTGACTCGACACGGAGTTTAAAAAAATAAGAAGATTTTTAAAACTTGTGATTTTAAAAGCTTAAGGGGTAAAAACTTTATGGAACCATGATATTTTGTGTGGTTATAAAAGCTTCTTATTAAGGATAAAATGGGTAAAATAAAGAGTAATTCTTTACCTACCATCTAAATAGTTAAAAGGCGATCCTGCAAAGAGTTTTTACGTTTTATTTTCAGTTATTTTACATAACAAAATAATTTTTTTTGAAAGATTTAATATATATTTTATTTTATTTTTATAATGGACCACAAAACTAATTGGTAAGAAAATGATCTCTTATCGGTACTAGTTTTTTTTTTTTAACTTAAATTTTCCGCAAATTTTCTACATTCTTTTTTCCAGTGATCTTCTGTGAAAATAATTACTGTATATAATTAAAGTAATGAACTACTACAAAATTAAATATTTCTCCCTCTTACCTGAATCTTATCCTCAAAACTTTGTGAAAGTAACTTGACACTGTGAATAGTACACCATAAAGCTGCTGTCTTGATTTTGGGACCAGTTTCTTCCTTTTCCCCCACCCCCCTCTCTCTCTCTTGTTGCCTCTTTCTTACTCTTTTTAGGAATGCCCTTTTGGTTTTTCAACTCAAAAACCTTTAATTTGCTGTTTTAGATGCTGCCAGAAATGGGATCAGAAGGATCATCAAAAGTTGTAGGTAAGCTTCAAAATCTTTAAAAGTTCATTTTTTTTCTTCTTCTTTAAATTGTAAACTTGATCTTAATCTAGTTGTAAATCTCTGTATAACTCTTTTATATGTTATTTGAAAGTCTTTTTTTGTTATATGAATTCATGTGCTTCACAATTTATGCATTTTCTTGTGCTGTTTAAACCCTTTTTGGTATTTGGGAGTAGGGTTTCTTTTTTGGGTTTTTGCGCAGATTAGGCTAAGTGGGCATATTATTATTAATTTGCCTTTTTTGAAACAGAAAGTTTAAATTTCTAGCCATATGAATGAATTTGGTGAACTTGGTGTCAGCTTTTATGGGAAAGTTGAAGTTTTTGTTGACAGAAATGTTTGCCCAATTAAGGTAAAGGTATCAGCTGAATTGGTGCCAAGTTTGGGTTCTGTGCAAAATTCAATAAGAAACGATTCATAGGACTACTGGGGGCTTAATTTACTCTGGAGTTCGAGTTTCCTTTCTTAATTTGGTAATGTGTGTGTGTTCTTTTTTTTTTTTTTGAAATCTAAATCTAACTGTAGAGACAGGGCAGTGTATCTAAGATGTGGATGGTGAAAAAGGTGGAAGTGAAGAAGGGGAATATGATTTATGACATATCATATTATAAGATTTTAGTAAATATTGGAATGTGATGGGCGGGCAACTAGTGTAAAAGAACATGATCAAAATGAAGTAGGAATACCAGTACTTCAAGTGATTTTTCTATAATTTTAAATACTGACTGCATTTATGTAATTAAAAAAAAAAGAAGAAGCTTAACAGCTATATTCATCCATAGCATTGTCAAAACGAATCAAACTGAACACGACTTAAAACACTTATGCAGTCAGTATTTAAAATGAGGATGATTAGAGTAGTGGACGAATGGCTCAATCAACTTTGATTTTGTAGCTCCAAATGTGGATGAATCTTCACAAGTTTCCAAGTAGATAATAAAAAGGCTAACTTCATCTATGGAGGTGACGGAGGTTCTAATCTGGGTCCCACTTTGAGTTTTCTGTTTAGTTTGCTTGCATCACCTTAATTGAATGCTGATAATTGTGGTAAGCACGTAATCAGTAATCTTTATTAGCTTTCTAAAAACAACTATTTTCACGAGAAAGCTGTCTGGAGCTCAAGTAATTTATATAAGGCTAATGGACAGTGGCAGAGCTAGCATAGGTCTAGCTGGTTCGGCCGAACCCAGTAACTTTTGTTCAAACCCTGTATATCTTAAGATATTCACTGAATATGTATAAATTATTAATTTAGAACCCAGTAAAATAAACGGGCTAGAATCTCGAACTCATAAGATTCAAATCCTGAATTCCTCTGCTAATGGAAGTGTTTTTATCCTCTTTATTTGGAGTTCAAAGAGAATTAATCAAATTGTAAGACTTCAGGGATGTCTTTCTTTATCCGATTTGACATTAATTTTCTTTAAAACGCTCAATGCTACACGCAGTATAATGGCATTTAGTTTTACACTGCCCCTTTTGTGGCTCTAAACTGCTTAATTATTCATTTATAATTGCAATAATATGATATTGTTCAGTAACTTTGTCTTTAGTCTTTTTCAAGGAAGCCCCTTCTTAATGTGCTACATCCCACACACCATATCAGCATGCTATGTAATATTAACCTGATAGCATTTGTGTTCATGTCCAGTCCCGAGGAATTTCAGATTATTGGAAGAGCTCGAAAGAGGAGAAAAGGGAATAGGGGATGGAACTGTCAGCTACGGGATGGATGACGCGGATGATGTGTTCATGCAGTCATGGACAGGAACTATAATTGGTCCTCCTAATGTATGCTTTCTTTCTCAGTTCTTTCACATTTGTTCTTGTAACTCTTCTTTTTCTGTGCTCTTGAATAGCTTGATCATGTTTTCCTGTTGATCTTGTAACTCTTCATGTATTCCTGTTGCAAGTGATTTGACATGACATCTATATAGTTGCACATAAAAATCGTATTTTGCATGTATGAATTAATGAGGTGCAGCTCTCGTGTTGACATCTAAAATCATTTTCAAAGGATTTCAATTTAGATGTCATTCAAAATCTTACTACTACAGTTGTAGGACTAACAAAGTAATGTGAGTTACTTCTATGAAAATACTTGTCACATTAACATTAGGAGTTTTCACATTATGAATTCACATCAACCAATTGAAAAGGGACCTAAAGTTAATTGAATTCCAGTTATAAGATAGATTGATATATCTTGCTTATTCAATAACTGTCGAGCTGTACTGCTGTGACTGTAATTAGGCCTTCATGGTACTTTTCTGCTGTTAATGTAAACTTTTCGGGCTGATCTACTGTTCAATTTGTTGACTATTTGATCACACTTCGTGATGTTGCATTTACTGTTGGACACCTTTCGGAGGCTATCCGAAAAATAACAGTAAGATGTTGCTGAGAGAAAGGGGACTTGGGGCTGATTATGCCTTATCTATATGCTAATTTGTCGGAGAAAGTTTATGTTGGGTTAAATAGAAAAGAGCAACTACAAATCCATTCATTTTGATCAGGATGCAGCAGTAGAAAAGAAGAAGAGGGTGCCTAAAGCTTCGGTAGGCGTAGTGGGAGGTAGCAGGTACCCGATTGAATAGTTGAGGTGCACACAAGATTGCCCAAACACAACCGTTATCACCACTGATCCAAAGGGGGGGGGGGGGTTAAAAACGCTGTGGAGGAAGAATGAAGAGGCGGAGAGAGAGAAGGAATCCCCTCTTACGGGATGTCAATTTTGACTCATAATGAATTTTCATATGCTAGAGAAAGCATGATACAATCCATTCATAATGAGGAATTTGACTCATCATCATTTAGAGTTTTCTGAAGAAAGCATGATATAATGCATGTAATAGTTAGGGAGCAGTAGTAATGACTCAGGTCCAAGAGGAAGAAGGTAGAAGGTAAGCAGTAGGAGTAGTAGCAAAAGAAAGAAGATGCAGAAAGAGAGAGAGAGTAGGCGTCCTGCCAAAAAACAGGATGCTGGATATGAGTCATAGCCATTTATAATCTGCTAAAGAAAGAATGATACAGTGCATATAGTAGGACATAATAGTTTGGAGCCAAGAGTGATGACTTAGAGTGCAAGAGTGAATTTTAACTAGTTGGAGGCCTAGACTTTCTTTGCTACTTTAATGACTTGACGAGCAAGTTTGTATACAGGACTTTGTTCCGAATACATCTAAAGATAATTAAGTTTCCGCCTTAAGGAACTAAGGACACACTTGAGCCACATAATCTTTGAAAATTATACTTAGATTTTCATCGAAGGGCTTCAATCTTTAAACATGGACTACTTGATGAATAAGAAGATGGTAGAGTCGAGAGTAGCATACATATCCTACTGTAAGTAGCAGAAACTAACAATAAAAAGATATCCTACTGCAGATAGCAGAAACTAGAATAATAAGGTGGATAGAGTTACCTGGTACCTGTTGTTGGTGGGAGGTAGTAGGCATCCTGTGGCATTAGTCGAGGTGCGCGAAATCTGGTCTGAACACCACAGTTATAAAAGAAAGATTAATAAGGAGTTAAGGACTGCTATTGCAGGAAACTTTCTAGGGATTCACCTGCAAGTTCTGTACCTGAAATACTTGTTTATTTTTTTGGGATAGATAAAGAATGATGGGTACAGATATAGAAGAGCGAGAAACAGTCTAGAAAAGGGGAACAAGAAGAGAGAAAGAAAAACGTAGGATATGTAGTTCAGACTGAATAAACCGTGGGAACGACACATTTTCTAGGTGTTGACCTCAAGGCGTTTCGATACCTCTGATCGCTGTAATGGAGGTGTTTGGTTGTTTTGAATTTTTCTTTTTCGTACTTAATGTCATTCTAAAGGTATCATCTGTTGAATTTGATTAGGAATTTTTGAATTTATGTTTGTGTAGTTCTTGTGTGATATCTGCTCTGATGAATTTTGCTTTATCTTTTCATCAAATAAAGAAAAAGAAAACCCCATAGATGAAATTTTGAGCTAACACAATGAAAATAGCAAAAAGGGAAAAAGATGACCAAAGTGGACCATATTACATAAATCCTGCATTTGCGTTTGACATATCACTGTATCGGTGTTTGATGGGTGTGATATGGGCATGAGTGAGTACTTAGTGTGAATTTTTGGGTACACACTAAAAATTAGCAAAGCTGCACATACCTGTACAGACATTCGTGTTTGATGTGTACTGATTCAGCCCTTGTAACACAGCCTAAACATACCTTCTCACCCTTTGGATAAGATACTAATATGAAAATATTGCATTTATGTCAGATTCAACTTAAGCCCCGTGCGACAATGTCCAACACATTTAACCTCAACAAACATGCCAACGTTGTCCTCTTATTAACCGAGATGCTATTTGAATAAAAATTTAACTGCTGTACTGCCTACCAACTGCCATACCCTTCCATCTCACAACCTTCATACTTTCTAATTCAAATGCTTGGAAAATCAATGTTACATAAACTCAGTATGGGCACTCACACTTTTTTTATTTGCCAATTTTTATGTATCTGTAATCGTGAATTGGCAAGTTTTATGTATCCCCAACTTATTTGGGACTGAGGCGTAGTTGTTAGTTGGAAGAATCTGCATGAGGTATCAATACCCACATCACACCTATTCTACATGGGTACATAAAATAAGTGAAGGATCAATGCAATTTAGCTGAAAATATTATAATGAAAGAAAAAGTACAAAATGACAGAGTAATGGAGACCTGCTTCCAGCTGGTCACCTCTGCACTTCTGGATAACTTGATTCTCAACCACCACGTGTGATACAAGAAACAAGAGGTCTGCAGTAGGTGGGCAGAAAGATATATTTTAAGTAATAAAATGAAATTTGATGAGGTAATAAGGACAAGTTAGCTATTGATAAATTTAGTGGTCCTTCATTCTCACTTAAGCTGTTTACCGTTTGTTGAAGTGAATGTGGTCTTTTGTAAATAAAAAATGCGCTTTTGTAATTGTTGGAAACCTCCCTAGGGGTCTTAATGCAGTTAATCCAATATTAGGAATGAATACAGCAACCTTTCGATCAAATGTGCCTCTAGCTTGTATTTAATCATTTTTGTAAGATGGATAAAAGAATTGTTTGCTACTCATGGGGACTTTGACAGTAACAAGAGCAAATATTATGTGCGGTAACTGACATGCAAGGCTTGACAGACTGTACATGAAGGTAGGATCTATCAGTTGAAACTATTTTGTGGAAAGGAGTATCCAGATGAGCCACCTGGTGTAAGGTTCCAGACCAGGATTAACATGAGCTGTGTAAATTATGAAACTGGTGTGGTAGGTACTACTTTCTATTTGACTTTATTAGGTTTGATATTAATAAAACAGTCTTATGTGTGAGAACGTTTATCAGGTAGAGCCACGTCTTTTCCCGATGCTTGCTGATTGGAAGAGGGAAAACACAATGGAGGATATATTGATGCAGTTGAAAAAGGAAATGATGTCTCCCCAAAATCGAAAACTATCTCAGCCTTCTGATGGTGAGTCATCACTAGGTTGATCTTTTATACTTTTATTTTCTTAATGGATATATATGAACTAATAAGACTAAAACATATTGGTCTTTCTTCACCGCTTGTTTAACTTTTTCTTGTTTGATAAGTAATAAATAATGTTATTATTAGTAGGTCGAACACTAAGCTAGTGCTACAAAACATAGTCACATATTGCACAGTTCCTCAATTGTATCTTACATAGCATCAACGTCCTGAACAAAAGCTAGGTTGCACTGCTTGTTTAATTTGAACCAAAGAGAATTTGCATTCCGAGAAGAGGATTGGTTCCTAAAGGGGAGCATCTACGCGTCTGCATAATTATTTTTCCCCTTCATTCAGTTTGTCATGTCTATATCTAAGTATATGTTGAGGCAAGTTGATTTAATGTCTCAATATGAGCAGTTTAGGTAATGGTCTTTGTTGTTACGTCAAATAGGACGTTGGAAAAAAAAATGATATCAATCTGAATCAAGGCTGTACTTTCTTTTGTCAGGCAATGAAGAGGGCCGGGTGGATCAAAAAGGCTTAGTGGTGAAATGCTGCATTATGTAATTGGATTAAATACTGAAAGATAATAATGTATATCCTTAATACTTAGATGATTCCAGATATTGTCTTAGTATGTATAGATACGTATATGCTTTGTACTTGTTATTGAATCCTCCTTAATTATGGGATGGACTGCTGTTTAATGCCAATTTTCCAACTGTGAAAATAAGGCAAACTAGTTTCATGACTTAATCATATCCTGAATGATGCTCAAGTTTGTCTGAGAATACCAGTGATGGCGCTTAAAGAGAAAGTCGATGACTGCCTGTCAAATACTCAGTGAAGCATGTTAAGGTATTGAAATGGCTTCAATGTAGATTATGGAACAATAATATTTATGTGATTCTAAGTGTTTATATTGCTTGCTATATCAACCCTTTGATGTTCTGGAAAAAGATCTTGAAATGTGGATTTCTTCTAACTTTCATTCTAGTTGTTCTGATGGTAAGCAACCTGCACTTCCAACCAAGAGGTTGTGAGTTCGAGTCTCCCCAAGAGCAAGGTGGGAAGTTCTTTGAGGGAAGGATACCGGGGGTCTATTTGGAAACAACCTCTCTACCCCAGGGTGGGGGTAAGGTCTGCGTACACACTACACTCCCCAGATCCCACTAAGTGGGATTATACTGGGTGATTGTTGTTGCTGTTGTTGTTTCATTCTAGTTGTTGAAGAGTATTCCTGGTAATGTGCGTACTTTTTAACTTTCTACAAGCTAGCAAAATAAACCCTGTTTTTATGTCGTGTAAAAAGTTTCTTCTATCCCAATAGTACTTATTCACTTTGACTTTGAAGGTCAAATATTATTTATTTTGATCAATGAATTTTTCTTATCAGTCTTTTTTTAAAATAAACTTTGTGACTTGTTAGTATTTATATTATATTATAGCTAACAATCCTTATAACCATTTATTTATCGGATGTCCCCAACAGGCAACAGCTATAGGCTTTCTAGATTTTACGGTTTGATGAGATATCACTATAAAATTTGGTTAGTCTGATTCTAAAAGTAACATTGTACACTTGCTCCTAGTTTTATGGTAAACTTGTTGGCTGTTGATTCAGCTTAATAAAAAGTCTTTGTTTGAGTTCAAAATAAATCAAAATCCTCTGTTGGAATGAAGAGGAAATCAACAAAGGAATAGATGTGTTTGATTATAGTTTGGGAATTCTGTTGAAAAATTTATTATGTCAACCTCTTTGTGGGGGGAGGGGGACAGCAGAAATCAGGGTAGATGACTACCCTTATTTCACAAAGTAAAACATAAGTTCTTTAAAATTTTGTTTCACAGGTATCTAGTGTAAAATATTCCTATTTTTAAGTCCATTACTTGAGTAAGACTCAATATGTTTTGTGATATCAAATCTCTTGCCTGAGGGAAGTTTGTTGTAAAATTATTTTTGCCTTCTTACCGCTTGTTTGGATGGTTGTTATCCATTGTATTGTATTGTATTATTACTTTGAATACAATATTTGTTTACTTAAATTTTATTGTATCGTATCGTGAAATTCGTCGTTACGTAATGACGAAAAGTGTCACTTTATGGAACAATAGGTTTGGTGTGGCGGCGTTTTTCTCTCATCTTGCTCTTCCTTATTATTAAATAATCATATTTTAACCTTTACTCTACTTTTTATCCTTTAATCATATTTAAATAATATTGCAAGTTTATTCTTCATATTGTTAGTACATGATATCATGAAACAACGATAAACGATACAATCTATCCAAACATTATATTTATCACGATACATTATGAAACGACACACAACAATCCAAACAAGCTGTTATGCTTCTTGAAAACTACTTCTGCTCTTGATATGATACTCCAGAATTTAACCTCTCGATGTATTTTGAACCATTATCATTTACCAATTACTAATCCAAACCTGTAAAAACATTATTGAGTTACGAACTAATCCTATCGAAGAGTCATTGCTTAGAGGGTAATGACTTGTATAGATAATCTTTTTCCAGAGAGTCTCGTGTAAGTTCTTTTCTTTTTTAGGTTATATAGAAATCCAGCATAATATACGGAAGTTTGAACTTTTATAAATGGAATTAGTGTACTGGGTTTTAATGGTAGAAATCCAACATAGTTCCAACTGTACCATACTTTGCTGAAGTTTTACATACAATTTTCAACTCTATGATAGTACTGTCTTGGGGTTACACTCGTAGGAGTAGAAAGTTAAGGGACAAGTCATGCTTTTGTAGAAGTAGAAACTTAGAGTCCAAAAAACCGGAGAAAAATGACACCAGGTTGCCACTTTTAAGTATGCCGTTTAAAATATATCTACAATTTATAATATATTTAAAGATTAGCCAATTTTGCTCAAACTTCAGGACACGACATCCTAGAGTTTAAACCTCAAAATTAAAACTTCAGGACATTGTGTCCTAAAGTTCAAAAATTGTGTCTAGGAGTTTGAATCTTATGTCCTGAGTTTTAAATTAGTAGTTCAGAAATTCAGGACACTTAGTCTTGAATTTTAAATTAGCAGCTCAAAATTCAGGATACTTAATCCTCAAGTTTTGATGAATTGACCAATCTTTAAATACAATGTAAATTGTGGATATATTTTAGATAGCGGGCTTAAAAGTGACTATTGCTGCACCTCGCCTAGGGTCTCTGGCCTCTGTTGCTTTCGAATGAAAAACTAGCTATTTTCCCGCTACATTTCAAACAGTGACGGAACATTAAGAAATGAACCAAAAAGTGGTCAGCCGACGTCATTTTTACGCCATATGTAAATGTAAAAATGGGGTGTAGTAGCCACTAATTAAGGGGGTCTTTAATTTTTATCCACTAATTATAATGCTCAGCAAAAATAGCCACTATTAATAGGAAAAAGACAGTTTTACTCTTTCTTCAATGGTTATATTCCCAAATCCTTCTACAAAAAGAAAGAAGTGATGAAGGTGAAGTATATATCAAGCGCAGTAATGGTAAATGTGAAAAACCCTTCTGAATTTCGAGCTATAGTTCAACACCTCAGTGGGAAAAACCCTCCAAAATCGTCCAATTTTCATCAACAATATGCAAAGACAGAGAATTATCATAATGATGAAGTTGCAGCCAAATTAGCTCGTGGTCAAAGTTCAAAAGGATTTTCTGGATTTCGGTTTCCCTATTAATATATAGTGTAGTAGTTGAGCTTTTCTTTGGCTTTGTTGCTTCAGTCACTGGGTATATAGTATATGATGTCACTGGGTAAGTAAGCCTTACACTGTACTAACACTAACAAAAATATTTATGAATGACATCATCCTCAATACTTATTTGCTAAATTCTGTATGTTCAAATTTTTGAGCAGATGTCTGAATTTTCAAAATTTCTTTCTTCTTACCTTGTTTTTGTTTCTTTTGAGTTCAAAGATTAAAATTTAAGGACATGAGTCCTTAAGTTTGATATGCAGGTTCAAAAGTTAAGGATAGACAGTCCTTAACTTATAGTTTCAAGTTCAAAATCTAAGGACTTCTGTCCTTAACTTTGAATTACTTGTTCAAAAGTTAAGGACATGCAGTCCTTAACTTTGAGTTCAAAGTTCAAAACTTAAGGACTGTCTGTCCTCAACTTTACAAAAGTTAAGGACAGGAGTCCTTAAGTTTGACACGCAGGTTCAAAAGATAAGGACAAACAGTCCTTAACTTATAGTTTCAAGTTCAAAACTTAAGGACAGACAGTCCTTAAGTTATTGCTTCAAGTTCAAAACTTAAGGACTTTCTGTCCTTAACTTTGAGTTTCAGCTGGTTCAAAAGTTAAGGACATGCAATCCTTAACTTATAGTTTCAAGTTCAAAACTTAAGGACAGTCAGTCCTTAAGTTATTGTTTCAAGTTCAAAACTTAAGGATTGTTTGTCCTTAACTTTGAGTTTCAAGTTCAAAAGTTAAGGACAAGAGTCCTTAAGTTTGACTTGCAGGTTAAAAAGTTATGGAAAGACAGTCCTTAAGTTTGAATAATACGTTCAAAAGTTAAGGACATGCAGTCCTTAACTTTGAGTTCAAAGTTCAAACGTTAAGAACAGGAGTCCTTAAGTTTGAAATGCAGGTTCAAAAGTTAAAGACAGGCAGTCCTTAAGTTTGAATTGCACGTTCAAAAGTTCAGGACAGGGAGTCCTTAACTTTGTGTTTAAAGTTACCTCATTTTAACAACCTCCTCCTTAGAGGCTCAAATAAATTGTACGTAGTTTATATTACTTTGAGTCCTCACAATTTTTAAATCTTCAGAGCGTGCCAGTTACACATCCTTCTCTGACACACTTACCCACAAACTACCATGACATCCATATCCGTGTCTACCAAAGACTAAAAACAGGTATAAGTTATAGCAGAAGAGTATTTTCGTCCAGTCAGGTATAAGTTTATTAAACCAGTGGCTAAAGACTAAAGACATTTAAAACACTGGCTTTAAAATAAAGACAGGTGCTGTTAGTGACTATTTGTGCACATCTCCCTATGTAAATTTGCAATTAAGGCTGTGGTCAGGAGTGCTCAAATCGAAACGGAAAATCATATCAAATCAAAAAGTCAAATCAACCCGCTCAGGCTTGATTTGATTTGGTTTGGTATTGAGTAAAAAAAATCCAAACCAAATCGACATATAAATATAGAATTTTCTTTAAAAAAATGTCTAGAAATATTTGGGATCTTCTCATGAAATGGAATATTTAATATAACTATGAAGTATATTTATTTTTATTTACTTAAAATAATGGGTTATATCACTTTCTTATCAAGTATTAGTGAAATGCATCAATCATCTCTTTGTTCTTCCATATTCATATGTCAAAATTTCTTATATCTTTTTCGAATTTGAAATAGTATTTTGATAATTTTAATTTAAATAGAACATATCATTATTTAGGTATCAGATTGATTTTTATATTTAATTATTAAATTCGATTAACCTTTAAAACGTACATCAAACAAAAAATTATTGCGTTATTAGATAACTAAGAAAATAACTTTCATGTGTTACTAAAACAATCACCCATAAGAATGTTTTAATATATCATATATTTGTCAATTGTTTTTTAATTTTTACTAAACATATATTCAACGTATCAATATTTTATCTATAATTTTAACAAAGTAAGATTGAAATAATATTCATGTAGCAAAAATAGATTATAGGCTTAGTAGGCGTTTGGACATAAATTTCAACGTCTTTTTTGAAATTTAAAATTTCCCTAAAGTTTGATTTGAAGATGAACTTATATTTGGTTA